GTCTTGTTGTTCCATGAATTGAATGGCGACCTAAGAGCCTCCTATTCCGTTCTCTCCTACAAATATGAGCCTTACTCTCGACATTACTTGCACTTTCCTCTATCGCCCCATCCCCAATTTTTTCAATCCTAAGTTTGTGTTCATTTGACATCCCCGTCGAACAAAGACTTAAGCTTTGGAAAACAATACCCTTTTTCTCGTTCTTTGCATTTTGACCTCTTTCTGAATATCCTCTTGCTCGGTTATAAAGCCTTCATCTTTTTTCACCTATTTGCTGCTTATATCAGGTATGAACCTGGGTTTCAATTAGTTCGTGTTGTTGTGTATGTTTTTTGAGCTCCTGTCTTGGCTTTGATCCATAAGTTTTTGCTAGATTGAATGGGTTGTTTTTGTAAAATGATAAAAGGGATTTTTGTTAGCTGATTCTCTTTGATTTTTTCATGTTCGCATTTGTTTCTGGGCTTTGGTTTCTATTCTTCTTCTTTTCTCTGTTTTTCAGACGTGGGTTTTTAGAGATTTTGTAAAAGAACCAGCAGAATTGTGGTTTTCGAGCATATTACTCTGTTTTGATTTTTCCAAGGTAAAACTAGGCATCTGCATTGGATTTTCTTAATTTGGCAGATGGGTTTTGATTTTGGGAGTTTAATTTGATACTATGCGGCTGAAGATTTGTTTTTTTCCTTTTTCTTTGTCATCCATGTGTTGGCACTTGAGTGGTTCTGTAGATTGGAGCGATCTCTGCAATTAACGTTTGCTCCAGCATTTTTTTTTTTTAAAGTTATTGATAGATCCAGGAAATATGAGGCTTTTGTTTTGATCTCTTATCTCTCCATGTGTTGGTCAGGGTGAAATCTTTGTGTTGGAGGAGTAGATTCTCCATGGTGAGCTATTAATTATCACCTTTTGTTTTCGTTGTATTCAGAATGGTTTCTGGAATTGAAAAGAAAAAACAAAAAAATACAGTCAGGGTTTTCCATCAACAATGCAATTCAGATGGTTTAGAGTGTTGGATTAAAATGGTTGCTTTCTTTTAATCTGACTTTATTTGATTTGTTTTGGGTTGTTCTCAACAGGGAGAGGCCTGCGTAGCTGATAATTGGCAAAATGGATCTCCAAAGGGGATTGTGTTGAACTCCAAGGATGAAGAAACTCGTACCACAATTGGTGATAAAGTGGTATGTTGATTTAAAGATCATTACATATTTTTGCCAGAAAAAAAGAACAAAAAAAAATCTTTTACTCCCTGGTCAATTATCCGGTCAATCATCTCAATGATCTAGAATTGTATATGTATTTTCTTGGCAGTATGTGATTGGTAGGACAGATGATGGATCCACATCATCACTTGGTGTTAAGATCTATGAAAAATCTACAAGAAAATGGTGAGCTTCTAAATATGGCAATGAAGTTGATCCATATGGGTTTTAGTTTAGACCCAAGTTTAATGATATATGGTAAAATGTGTAGGGTGATTCCTACTGTGCTGGGAACAAGACCTGCAACATGTAAAGGTCATTCAGCGGTTCTTTGGAATGAAGATCGAATTATGATTATCAAGAAGGGTTCCAACCCAGATGATTGCATTTGGTTCCTCGAGGTTTGTGTTTTGAAAACTTAATCCTTTGATATTTGAGTGGGAAAATATTTGGACAACATGAAGATGGAGTCTTGAAAATTTATATAGAACATGAACTTTAGTAAGAAGTACTAGAAAGATACAAATATGAGCAGGGGAATATAAAAAAAGGTTCTGACAATGATTTTATTTATGCAGCTTCTCTATATAATCAAGTAAACTCATTTTATATTCTATATATAAGTTGTTATGAGGTTTTTCATTTCTTTATGGCATTTGTAGATCCCTTGATTGACTTGTATAAAACTTCCTGAATATTTCAACTGATCTGCTTAATGTTGGTAGGTGGACACTAAATATGTTAAGGAGCACAAAGGAAATTTGGGCATTGAGGTTGTTGCCTGGAGTAAGGGTGTGAGGGGCGATGCTGAGAAGCCTGTTGTTATAAGTGGTCCTTCTGGAGTTGGTAAGGGCACATTAATATCCATGCTCATGGAACAATTCCCTTCCATGTTTGGATTCTCTGTAAGCCATACAACCCGTGCACCACGGGGCATGGAGAAGGATGGAGTGCATTATCATTTCACTGAGAGAAGTGTAATGGAGAAAGAGATAAGAGATGGAAAGTTCCTTGAGTTTGCAGAAGTCCATGGAAATCTCTATGGAACCAGTATTGAAGCAGTTGAGGCTGTAGCTGATTCTGGAAAGGTAAAAACCCTTGTACAGTTCTATGGTTTGATTGATTCCTTTTAAGAAAGAAAAATGAATCAACACTTGAGATAATTAGGACTCATGGTGACTTCAGCTTGTCCATGCAAGTTGTTAATTGTCCAATTGTAGCAGAGTGTGCTTCTTGGTGGAGTATGTATTTAGCATATACCACAGTACTCAAGGTTCTTTAAAAGAATATCATGTAGATTTCGGATTTTCTTTGTAATGTGTGTTTTCGGATTTTATACTGCATATAATATAAGAAGCCATGTGAAGTACTTTCTTGTGGGTATCGCATGTTTAATTGAACCCATATTCTCTATATTTACAAATCTTAACGTGTTTTTTCCCTTCTGTTCCTGGTGTCCATACAGAGGTGTATTCTTGACATTGATGTTCAAGGGGCAAGGCAAGTGAGGGCCAGTTCTCTTGAAGCCATTTTCATCTTTATCTGTCCACCCACACCCTCAATGGAGAAGCTTGAAGAACGCCTCCGTGCAAGGTGAATCAGAACTGTCCATTCTGATATTCCTCCTCTTTCTTTTAGTTTCCTTGCCTGGTTCCAATTAGAATGCTGTAAACAGGGGGACTGAGACAAAAGAGCAGATCCTAAAGCGCCTTCAAAATGCTGAGCCAGAAATTGAGCAAGGGAAATCCTCTGGCACCTTCGGTCATATTCTGTACAATGACAATCTCAATGAGTGCTATGAGAACCTTAAGGTGATCCTGCTGATTCATTTTGTATCCATACTCATGCATGTTTCTGCTTTATGTTTTGTAACCATTGAATGGTTCTCTTTTAAAATTTTCAATCATCTGATCTGATTTACTTTTGTTATGGTGTAGAAACTCTTGGGACTCGATGGAAGTGCAGCTGGTAACCATAAAACAAGTATGCAGCTTATAATCTGATTATTTTTAACCTGCTTTTTTTTTAATGCAAATTAAGCTGACTTATTATAAACGTTTATCCAGCTTTAGAAGGGATCGATCTGCCTCTGAACCACTCTGTGTCACAAGATGGTAACAAGATCCAAATTAACAGTGAAACCCCAGAGCTAGGAAAAACATCCAAGAACTTGTAAGTCTCTCTTTTTGATACACACAAGCACAAGCACAAGCACACAATGATCGGAGTTTTTACTAATAAGCACCTAATATGTTTTACTCAGAATTGTATTGGATGTATCCAAGCTTAAAGGCGGCGCTCCATGGAGGACAGGAGGGCTTAATGTCAATGCCATCAATTCATTCTCAGATGGTCTGAATGGGATTAATAACTTAAGCTAACAGCTGGCCAATCCTTGACCGTGCTGACATGGTTTCCATTTTCAAAATTTTCCCTAAGCTCCTACTATTTGAGCATTGAGAATTGCATAAGTTGGATTTCTGTTTTTTTAGACATTCTTTCTTTGTCTTAAAACAGACATGAAAGTGGACTAGAAGTCTAGAACTAAGCCAGTCCCCCTACACGGACAATGAGAGAATTCATCATTTCTGCGGCAATGAAGGGCTTGTACACCATATTAAATTTTATTCCTCGTTGAACTAATATACATTGAAGATATTTTTCTTCTTTTGGTACCTCAAATGGATGTGCAATATGCTAAGAGAGAATTCCCCTACACCTGCTCCACCTGCTCTCAAGATTCTAACTCTCTCTATATATATATATTTGGAGTTTCAGATTTTTAACTACTTGTGACCTTTTAGAGGGAATTAAATCTAACATGTTGGAGATAGGATTGAAATAGAGAAGTTCCTAGAAAAAGTTGATTTTAAGTCATGGAAAATGTATAGACGTTTCAAAATTTCTCATTCAACACGGTTTCTACAAGAAAATTGTTTTAAGAAAGGGACTAAACGCTAAACAGATGACTCCAAAAATCTTCCTAGAAGAATCAGTGTGAATGACCGTTACTGCTGTTTTCAGTTGTGTACCCACCACCACCGCCACCGCCACCGCCAGGCAAGAACAAGCTGGAAAGTAGGGACCTCAACAAGAAAACATCGTTCATTTCCCTGTTCAGAGAGGGCATGGGGCATGGTCCCCTCCGTGAGGTCGGTGGCAATGGGGCCAAGGCCAACCCAACATTCTCATTTAATTTTAGAATAAGGATAAATGACTTATTTTTTCAGAGGCTTATATATCTCCACATATATGTCAGAGAAAGTCTTTTATATAATTATTGGACCATGTCAGCAATATAATTAATCATTGACAATTAGATACATCAATATAAGTGAGTCACTTATTGAGTTATACAGATTCAAGTCTATGAGAAAGGGATTCACTTTTATTTAATTCTTGTAGAGATTTAATTGACTTGTGTTACCTTGTAGGATATCCTAAAATTGTATGGTAATCTTTTCCACATCAATTTTTTTTTTTTTAAAGTTAGATTGTAGTTTAACTTGTAAATTCATTAAAATGCCATAAATAAAACTCTTAATATTATGTAATATTATAAGTTTATAGTCATGATATAATATGTAACAAATATGATGTGACATTAAACAATTATAATATAGCAATAGACAAATAGATGTATATAATATTATAAATAGATTTTTAAATGAAAAAAAGTTGATTATATAATAATACATTATATTATAAATTTATAATATTATATGATATTATAATTATAACATTTTTATTTTTTATTTTTTAAACATTTTTGTTATGGGGTTGGCTCGAACCGTTACTCTAGAGAGGAGGATATATACCTTACAAATGTGGTTAGAGTGACTTGCCCGAAGTTCATAACATTTTTATTTTTTATATTAACTTATTAATAATATTTTAATAATTTTAATACCTAAATCCCACTTTGAATGAGTAATCGAATCTAGAAAACATGAATCTCTTTTCATATTTTCTAGTCCTTGATGGTGGGCAGCGAGGAAGCTTCCTGGAAGGACAACTAGAAGTGAAAGATTGCGTCTTTACCATATCTTTTGGCAGGTGGGGGCCCATCAAATGAGGCTGAAAGCAAGACATGGGCAAGTGGGGTGCGTATTGGATTGGTCCTCTTTTTCTCCTCTTACAGACTCACATGATGCTGGTTTTAGACACTTCTAAATTAATCAGAGGTGGGCCTACGTATTAATGAGACTGGGCCATGTCCCCACATGATCAAATCCTGAAATTGTTCAGTGTCCCTTTGAAGTTTGAACTTATTTTTTCCTCCTGTCTTTGGTTGTCTGTCATCCATTTACTTTCGCGTGGACTTTAGATGGGCTAACACTACACATCGATCTCAAAGCCCATTCTCTTTCTAAGACTTTTTCTATTAGCTCAAGTACCAAAGCGCATCATATAAGCAAAAGCTGGAAACTCTCAACCCTCGGATATTAGCTATTAATAATTATTGAGAAAATATTTAAATAAAAGTATTAATTTTATATTTTTTATATGAAGATATTGATTTTATTTATTTTTTAAATAAAATATTAATTTTTAATTTTTATTAAAAAAATATTAACTTTTAGTATTTTTTATTTAACATTAATTTTTAACTTTTTAATCTAAAGATTAATTAAATGATAATATTAACATAACAAATAAATTTTTTTAAAAAAATTATCATCTTTAAATAAAAAATTAAAAATTAATATTTTAGAGTTAAAAATTAAAAATTAATATTATCATTTAAAAACTAATAAAACTAATATTTTTAAATAAAAAATAAAAAATTAATTTTTAACTCTTTAAATTAAAAAAATAAATGAACATCTTTGTTTGCATATTTTCTCAACAAACAACCATTACATTTGAACAACTAAATAAAAAAAAAAGGTAATTGTTTAACAATTTAAACTATTCTAAATTACAAAATAAAAATTATTAATAAAAATTTAACCACAAATATTAAAAGACACCCCAATTAATAGTTTATGTACACTAAACTGCACAACACTTCTTTTACCGAACGTGGAGCACAAACAAGTTTAGTATGTTTTAATGTTCAAACTTATTGCACAAAATGCTATCGTCATTATTTTATACATTGAAAGAAACTAAACTGATGAAAATAATAGCAGAAGTTCAGAAGCCAATGGTGGTGCCATTTCCTTCCTTCTCTCTCTACATAAAGATAGAGCCAAGAATGATTTGCCTGTGAGCTCAAGACATGACTGCGGTTACAAGATTGAAAGGGGCCAAAACAAGTCCAGCTTTGCTATCAAACTCTTGCGTTAGTTCCTGAAAAGCAAAAGCAACACTGTAGAGACCTTTTCAGCCCAATGGAAGGAAGGTTCATTTGATAGTGAGGGCCCTGTGTGGCAGCCCGGTTACAACCATTCTTCCGTGCTGCTGTCCTGAGTAGTCTCCAACCATGTGATCTGAACGCGAATGAGATGTGGACAGCTGAAACCCTTGATGGAGGAGGTAGGACCTATGATCATTGCTGTTCGGGAATGCCTGCTGTGAATGCATTTCATGCACATGGAGCTCTGGTACTTCTTGAAAACAGGTTGATGAGATGGAATTCTTAGTAGAGGATGTGTTCATGGATTGTTTAGAAAGAGTGCAACCTGAGCCACTGCCTTTGTCTGGTGTCCCACTACAAGCGTTGTTGTCAAGCTTTTTTGTATTTAGAAAACGGCCCCCACAACCTCTAGCTCTCCTCATAGCATGCAAATGCCGGGACTCGTGAAGATATGGCTGTGAACATGACAACACACATTGTACTTGTAATGAAATTGAAAATATAAATTGATCATACAATACAATATCTTGCATAAAAGGAATTTTGGAAATAGCCATAATTCAACCTTTGGTAGTATTACAAATAGAAATGTTTCACATATGCACGGCCCTAATGTCAAAATAATATACTCATTCCATATGATTACTGTTAAGCTAGGAAACAACATCAACGACTACTGAAGGCAGTTTCTTTTACAGCTTTGCCAAATCAACTTAGCACCATCTTCCCTAGCTAAGAATCCAAACATAATTCCATATCCTCGGTGACCTATGAGTCTACAATCATTTGAAGTATTGCATTTAATGAAGAACAGAAGCTGCAATTAAACTACATTATTAGGCTATCAATTAATGTAAGAAAAGATTGAACAATAAATCAAGCTCTACATGTGTACAATTATGCATAAGAATTACCTTTCTAACTTTTATCAGTTTCCTTTCCAGTTCAAGCTTGGCACGTGACTGTCTCCTTCTCAGAATTCCATGGTACTGCTTAGCGTTCACATAAACAGGTTCCTCTGCCATTTCAAGAGGCAAAGCCATTCTAGCCGCATGTGCTCCAAGACACTGAGGATGTACCTAAAATGATATCCAATATAAATGTCTCAATCTATCTTGGCTTGTAGTTGGCAATTCTTCAATGAAAATTGTCCGTTTGAATGCATCCAATTGTTGCAAGCTAATTATTTAAAGAGATAATACCTTTTTTTTTTTTTTGCCTAAAGAAAAAGAGATAATACCTAGCAAACCTAGAAACTATTTATTTTTCATATTACTTAGAGTAGATGCCTAAAATGCACAGCAATCAAGTTGGAGAACAAATGATAAAATTTCCGTCCAAAAAAAAAAAAAGAAGATTAGATAACAAGCCGATACTTCCAACTTCTTATTTTTCGGAAAATATTGAAAAGAAAGCTCAGTTGGGTACAGCACTATAGCTTGTCAACAAGGCTCTTATCATCCACATGTACCATCTTGCCCAAACTCATGGCACTTTTCATGATTATCATCAAGAAATAGAATCTTGTTCCCATAAATCTAAAAAGACAAGTGGAGGTACTTTCAAAAAACATGATTTTTATTCCCTTTAAATTTTTGTTCAGATGATATTTTTCATTATTCTACACCGTAATGGTGACTAAACTCTTGCTCTAAGGGCTGTCTAGAACTCTTTAGTAGTGCCAAAGTAGCTTTACCCAAGAAATTCTTGGAGGAAACTCATGGTCTCACAACTTTTCTCACAAAGTTGTCTTCAAAATATGATAAACTAAGTTCTGCAATTCCTAATATAGAACTAAATTAAGTTCCACAATACATAATGGGAAAGTAGGAAATAACTTCATGAATTCTAGAAAGTTTTCATTACAGAAAGTGCTTCCATGCGTTCTGCCATCATTGCCCTTTAAAATTTCTAACAAAATTTGCTCCTTTTATTTTCTTTCTATTCACCCATGAGGAAGCCATGAAATACACAATTATAGAATTTCATTTTATCCTGTCTTAAAAGTGTCAAATTCAACTAATGAAAACAAAAATTGACAGCTACCTAACAGTAAAGTTGTTCTTAAAAAGTCCAATGAATACAACAAGAAAATATATATGCGTACCTCAAAAAAGTATAAATGTATATAAAACCAGAAGGGTAGTCATTATCATCGTAAGTTGAGTATATGCTAAACTAAACTAAACAACAGTATACCAATGGTTGAGGTCCATAAGCAGTAACTACTCCCCCATAATATGGATCTGAATATGGATATGATGGACATGCCTGCAAAAAGAGTCTCAGTTAAAAATAAATTACATGTTGCTGCATCAGAAAAAAAATAGCAGTACAAATCCAACAAGAAAAAAAAGTGTTTGTGCATGTGAATTCACATTTTTTCTAATGAGTAAGAGAAAAAGAGCATTTACAATTGTATGGCCAAGAAGCTCTAGTTGAGTAGGTTGTGCAATGTATTCCCCCACGGTTGTAGGCAACACAGATATCACATGCTGTATATGTGGCTGCTGTTCCCCACTTTTTCCAATATCTTTCATAAAAGAGAAGTTTTGTATTAATCTATCCATAAGATATACTTCTTGGTGCATGAAAAGCAACTTAAAAAGTAATCAAAAATATCTAATTTTTTTCATATATAGGCAAAGGAAGATAGTGCTTAACAATTGTAGAGGTTCGAACCCTTAACCTTGCCCTAGAGTCAAGGTTTCTAGTAAATAACAACTCGGTAAAGCCCTGTTGACAACCAAATATATCCTATGTTTTATAAACCTCATAAACATAATGCAGAAAAAATAAATAAATAAATAAAACTTCTTCCAAGGCATTGCTGGTGAAAGTAACAAGGAACTACATATTACTAATAGGGCTGCATGAATGAATAAAATAAGAGAACTAAAGAGTTAAAAAAGAAAAAGAAAAAAGAGGAAGAATATTATTTTATGAACATAGTTTTCATTTTAAAATAGCTGGTTCTGTATTCTGGTGAGTATTATGTTTAGAGCGCAATATGTCAATGCAACACCACTTCAAAGATTAAGCCTGCTTGGAATACTTTTGTCAGAGCCTCAACAAACCAGCCCACAGAGTCCATACTTTTTTGCAAAACAAATATGCAATGAAATAGCTTCATACTGCACTACAACATACTAGGCAGAAACTATAGCACACAAATCCAGTGTGAGATTCACACATCAGTATCATACATGGAATATGACACCTCAAATCAGTCATACAATTATAACTAGTGCATAAGCCTGTACCTTGTAGAATAATGCATACAAGTTACCTGCTTGTGACAATTCACTTGAATGCATTTCTTTATTGGAAAGGATTCTCTTGCCATCTCCATGCTTGCCTTGTGCTTCATTGCTTTTACTCCCTAGCCCTCCGTTTGGATGTGCCCTTGGAGATGAGTTGTTTCTGCTTTCTCCTAAAATATCCATGGAGGTAGCTCCATGCCCCATTCCAAACCACCAAGGTTGAGAAGAAACTGCTGATGGATTAGCCTTATTTAAAGTAGATTCTGTACGGTTTGTGCCATCTGACTTTGGATTCATACTTTCAGAGACTAAAATCTGTAACAGCCTATTCAGCTCCTCACCTGTTGAGGGGGAAAGAAAAAATGAACAAAAGTCAAAGAGTTGTTACATAGGACAAGAATACAATTGAAGACACAGACATACCAATATAAGGAAGCTTTCTAAAATCACCAAAATCTTGGTGTTACATCTAAGCCATATATGCCTATGTGGTACCTAACACGATTTTGCAACACTAACAAAATTGTCACAAATAAACTTCTTATTTAAAGAATACTTCTTTTTCAAGTAAAAACCAAAGAGGAAAACTTAAATGAACATAAACTCATTAACTTCACCAAGCTAAACCGAGATATATACTCCTTCCTCATCTTAGTATGATTCTTTGCTAGCTAAGTTCTTATGAATATTAATCTGCTTCGGGACACCCCAGCTCATTCATATATAAACCATTCTTCGAGTTCTACTCAAGTGATCCTCCAACCAACTCTGCCTCAGTAAGCTTAAGCACAATATACTGGGATTTTCCGAGAACTTCTAAAAAACTCCTGGAATAATCCAGAAAATTGTGCTTTTCATTGATAAATTGATAATTTACCGGAAGTTTATCAGCACAAAAATAAATAAATAAATAAATAAAAGAAAACTATTAATTCTCCATCGGAAAACATCAGATCCTCTTCCATGTAAACAGAAAATCAATAAACAAACAAACAACATCCAATTAATAAACGAATTCTATTGAAAAAACGGAAAAATTAAAGCAGTATTTCAAATTCGCAAATCTAACATGCATGCATGCATTAGAAAAAACAAAATCAAATGGTATTCCAAATCTAGAAATCACATAACAGAAAACAAAGCAAAAACTTCAACAATTTCTGACCTTAAAAAACCAAATCTAGAGTCCAAACAAGCGAAAATTCAAGCAAACTTGCCGGAATTATTGCTGAAACAGATTCAGAGAGAAAAATTGAAACAATAATCCTCCAAAGAAATCAAACTTACAGTTCTTGATTTTGCAGAAGAGGAAATGAAATTGGAATTTCGGAAAAATTTTTTTTTTATCTCTGCTCCACCGGAGATGCTGCTTCTCTGTAGTAATAAGTGAGAAGAAGAGGAGAAAAAAGAATTTCTATGATTTCCATTTTAAGGAATATTTGGTTTTATATAGAAGTGTCGGAGAAGACCCGGCGCCGTCGTTTTATTTCTCCTGCTTTCCATTTTGTGTTTTTGGCTCGGAGATAACCGCCGTGACTTAACGGAGGAAGGGAAACCCCACCCCCACCTTTTTTTATGGCGGGGTGACGTTGGTTTGGTTTGTCTTTAGTTATACTTTTTATATTGACAAAATGATCCTTGTCACAAACATAAAGTGTACTACGTTTAGTTTTTTTTATAATTTGTTTCTTGGAATTTTAGGTTTGGATTGGTTGTGTTTCCTTGCTTCCTTACCTAATTCTCACTACATTTGATCATCCAACCCACCTCCTTTTTACTTTGTTTCCAACCCACACCCTTGACTAATCACAAAAAAATTTCCATTTACAACGCTCTCCATTTTTCCCTTTCTTTTTCTTTTAATTATTTGGGATTTTCAGAATTAAATGATATATGTGATTATATGTGGATAATTTATTTGAATAATTTTTATTTATAATTTTTATGTATCATTGAATTAAATAAAGCATGTAATATCACAAATTTTAATAAAATAAAAAATTAATCATTAAAAAAATATAAAGTTACATAAAAAATTATAAAAAAAATTATTTCTAAATTATTTTCCAATTGGTATTTACACATGTTAATTAAGTGGTCGTTTGGCTCATTTTCTAATTAGTTTCTTATATTAGGTAAAGTTGGATCAAATATATGAGAAGACGTGTTAAAATAGAGAAAAAAACATTCAAAGGAGAGAAAAGTGTTCAACAACACTCGTTCGAATAAACTAATATTATCAATAACTTGCCAACGACTTAAATAACATAATAGTTATTCTCTTCCATTAAAAGTAAAAGGCATTAAGTTCATGTTGCATGACATACAGGTAGGATGCAATAAGGAATAAAAGATGGTTGCTTTTGATTGTGTAATTAAAATAAAAAAATATTGTCAATAACTTATTTGTTAATTTTAAAATCTATTTTTTTGTTATAGAAAGTAAAATTTCAAACTTTAAAATAAATGGACAATAAATTAGCAAAAATAAAAGAAGATGGTGCCACCAAAGTCACAAGAATTTAACCAATTCTAGAATGTAATTGGAGGAATGCAAAAGTGCAACTATACTTACTAGAGTAGAGAAACCAAAGCCACAAAAAGTTTAACCAATTCAAGGGTTGGAGGAATTCAAAAAGGTTTTGGAAACTATGCTACCAGAGCAACCAAAAGCCACAAAACAAAAGTTTAACCAATTCCAGGGTTGGAGGAATTCAAAAAGTTTAACCAATTCCAGGGTTGGAGGAATTCAAAAAGTTTATGGAAATTATACCAC